AGTCCAGGTCAGTGGCTGAGACCTGGCCCACCAGCGTCCCGGGAGCCTTGTTCTCGGGCACTGCCAGGTGGTAGGCAGCCTGGGTGAAGGCAGGTGGCTCTGGGGCATCCTGTACAGCCACACGCACCGAGGCCACGTCCTTGAAGGGCCCTCGCCGCAGGTAGGCTGGGTCAATGAGCGTGTTGGTGGCCTCCACCCGGAAGGAGTAGGAGTGACGGGTCTCGAAGTCTAGGGGCTGTAGTAAGCAGAGATGAGTGGCTGAGGCGTGTGGAAACCAGGGCAGGCCCAGGCTCCTGGAAGGTGAGGAGTCCCTTCCCCACATGCATCAAATGCCCAGCCCTCCTGAGAGGAGAGGTGGGCAACAGGGGGGCAGTGCCTGGGTAGTCAGGGTGGGGGCAGATTAGTCAGTAGCTCTAGGTCTGCCCCCAGCTCCATCATAGACTTGCTACAGGAAAGTCTTGAGCCAGTCACTCAGTCCCCCTTTCTGGGCCCCAGGCCCTCATTTGAAAGATGAGGAGATGACCATGATCTCTGAGCTCCAGTATAGGGGTCCTGAGTGAGTGTGTTCTAGACCAGTTAGAAGTGTGTCCCGTGGGGCAGGAGGAAGGTATGAGTCTGCAAGCGTTAGCAGACAGGAGGCTAACCTTGCGGACAGTGAGGAGCCCGTCTCGACCTTGGGAGTCTGTGCTGATGCTGAAGGCCTCGGAGCCCTCCCCATCCAGGATGCTGTATGCCATGAGGGCGTTGTCTCCCAGGTCTGGGTCCTGGGCCCGCAGCCGGCCCACCAGGGTGCCTGGCCCAGCTGTCTCCACCACAGAGAACTGGTACAGGCCTTGAGGGTGGATGGAGGGAGACACTCTTAGAGAGGTCCCCAGCCCTCCTCCCTCTCCCAGCACTTCCTTTTCCCCGGGGCCTGGATAGGGGAGCGGTGGGGAGGAACGGTTTCTCCAGAGGCTGATAGGGTGCGGTGGTCAAAGGATGGCTCAGGCTGAGCCCTGGCCCCTTACTCTGAGGGAACTTGGGGGGGTTGTCGTTGACATCGCTGAGGGTGACCGTCACCGTAGTGCTGCCCGACAGCCCCCCCATGTGGCCGCCCATGTCCTTGGCCTGAATCACCACCAAGAACTCCTCCTGCGTCTCCCGGTCCATGTTGGGGATGGCGGTACGCACCACTCCTAGGGAGAGATGCTGGGTCAGGTGGTGCCGGTTACCATGGCTGCCCCATCAGGCCCCCGACCTCCATCCTCACCAGTCTGGGGGTCCACAGAGAAGAAAGGCAGTCCGTCCAGCACGGTGTACACCAGCTTGGCGCTGTTCCCATAGCTGGGGTCATCGGCGTCGTGAGCAGTCACCTGGATCACTGACGTCCCTGTGGGGGATCCCGGCACCTCGCTCAGCAGGGGCAGGGCCGGGTGGGGAAGACCAGCAGATGAGGGGGACCCAGACATGAGTGAGGCCGAAGGAGGTGGGTTCTGGGGCAGAAAGCACTGGGGGAAGGAGAGGTGAGGGCGCTCCAGGAGACAGGCTCTGGGACATTTGGAGTTGGGGTGCTCACCGACGTTGGACATCTCAGGCACTGTGGCGTGGTAGGGCCCGAGGGGAAAGATGGGTGGATTGTCGTTGATGTCTTGCACCTTGATGATGAACTCTGATGGGGGCTCCAGGGGCCGGTTGGAGGCTCGGTCCACGGCTTGGGCCAGTAGCACATACTGTGCCTTCTCCTCCCGGTCCAGGCTCTTGGTGACATGAATATTGCCTGTGGCCTCGTCAATCACAAATACGGTGCCTGCCCCCTCCCCCGTCAGCAGGTACTTGGTGCGACCCTCGCCCCTGTCCACATCCGAGTGCAGCTGTAGGGGTCAGGGAAAAATGGCACTGGGTTCCAAGCATAGGGACAGAAGGTTAAAGAGTCCAAGTCTAGGACTGGGGGAGTGTTGGGAGTCCTGAGGGACCAAGGTCACTGCAGAGTGATGAAGGTGCAGGGCAGGGCCTAAGGGCCTCGAGAGTCAGGGCAGACATGGAGGGGTTGATCCTTACCTTGCCAATAAGGACAGGCTCTGGACCGGCATATTCCTCAATGACAAAGAACTGGTTCCACACCCAGCTCCTTCGGGTCCGCAGCAGTGTGGGTCCTGGGCCCCCCCGGGACCCTGCCCAGGCCTGGGCTGGGGCTGCCAGGCGCCCCATGCAGCACCAGCCACCCAGCCAGGCCAGCAGGAGCCTCACCAGGCCCCACATGTTTGGGTTCCAGCCAGGGCTCTGTTCACTGCCCCTGGGTGCTGAGGCATGAGCTGGCTGGGCAGAGGAGCAGAGGCGTTGGGGCTACCCCATGGATCCACACCTGTGGGACAGGTAGCTGTTCAGGGTCAAGGAAACCCTTAACCCTCTCCCCCAACCAAAGTTAGATGCTGAAGATGCAGACCTCCAAGGAACCAGACACCCCACTGCCCACCCAGACTAAGACAGAGCAGACAGTCTGGTCCTTCCCTCCACCCAGGCTCGCCTGTATTCACCTCCAGCCCTCCAAGCTGATAAATCTCCAGCCAGTCAACTATGAGTAGAGAAGCTGGGGAAGAAAACAGGAGAGGGGGTGCTGGGAGCGCTGGGAACCCCAAATCTGGCCCCTGTCCTCCCAGGTTGGGCATGCAGCCAGGGGGCTGGAGGAGATGGGGGCTAACAGGGAAAGGACTTAAAATCCAGGGGTTGGGATCCATGGAGGTGTGGCCTCAGGGTGTCTAGGATCAGGCAGAGAGATGACAAGGAGTGCAGCCTAAGACAGGCCTGTGAAAGTCGCTCCTCCACAGGGAACCACACCTCTCCAGAACCTGCCCCCAGCCCACCCTGCCAGCTGAAGACCTTGATGGGGCACCCGGTTCATGAGGCAGATTGGAGGGCCAGAGCTGAAAGAAGAGGGGGTAGAGTTGGGGGCAGGGCCAGGAGACTGGGGTGGGGGAGCAGAGGCAGACCCAGAGGCTAGAGACACAGCGTGATTGAGGGTGAGACCAAGACTCAGGGACTGTCTGGCAGAGACAGAGACAGAATGGCAGCAAGAGACAGAAGGAAAAAGACCAAAGGAGGCAGCTGGGCATCTGAAAGGCAGAGAGGAGTCATAGGTACCAGAGTTGGGAGTGTGTGTGTGTGTGTGTGTGTGTGTGTGGAGCGGTGGAGGGCAGGGGGGCTCTCATCCTGTGTGGTGGGCGGGCAGGGGCAGCCCCCAGCTGCAGGGGTCAGACCAGGCCGCCAGAACTTCATTCTGGGAGAGAGGGCAGCCAGGAGGGGCTGTGAGGGAGAGGACCCTTCCCAGTGTGTCTCCTTCCTCTCTTCCTGGGAGGACCCCTCAGGTAGCTGTGGTTGGGTCCCTCCTCCCCCAGAGAAGACACACACTTGACAGTCATTTCCCTCCCTGGGGAAGAGGGAAGCCGGAGGGAAGCTGGGGGACCAGGGAGGGAGGCGGGATGAGGAGAGAAGGAAAGGGATAGAGGAGTGGGAAACAGGATAGAAGGAAAGGGAAGAGGAGAGAAGAGGAGGGGACAAGGGATGGAAAGGAGAGCGGGAAAAGGAAAGAAAGATAGAGGCAGAAAAAGGCAAAGAGGAAGAGGCGATGGAGAAAGACCGGGCAAGAGAGAGAGAGAAGGGTTGGGGAGACAGAAGGAAGGGGCAGAGAAGACAAACGGGCAGAGAGAAGGCAGGCGAAGAAAAATCGAGGGAGAGGAAAATGGGAAAAAGAGGGAGAGAGGTGCGAGGCAAGAAGGGAAAGAGGTAGAGCGCGGGAGAAGGGAGCCGGCAGTGGCTCCCAGCCGCGGAGCGCACCGCTCGGAAGACACCCGCAGCTGCGGGCCCCCTGCAGCCCCTCCGCGGATTCCCGACCCCGGGCTCCGGGGCAGTCGCCCTTACCTGGCAGCACCGAGGGGCCCAGGCCCGGCAGGGAGCGCCCCCGCCCGCCGCCGTCGCCGGGTCCGGGGGCGCAGCCCCGAGCCGATCGGAGCGGGCGCCGCGGCTCCGCTGCAGGTCTGAGCGGCCCCGGCGAGAACAAGGGAGCGAGACGGAGGGGGCGGGGGAAGGAGGCTCCGCCTGCGGAGGAGCGAGGCGGCTCCGCGCCGCGCGGGAGAGGAGAGCCCAGCCTCCGACCCTCCCCGGCCAGCCCGGGCTGCGCGGCGGGGGCGGGGGCGGTGCCTGGCTCCCGCCCCCTCGGCGCTGCCGGGCCGCCGGGCGCATACAGATGCGACTTCCCTCCAGGGCCGGCCCGCAGCGCCCGGCGGGGCACTCGGGCGGGAGGACGGCCAGGCCGTTTCCGAAGAGCTGGCGGGGAGGGCGCACCCGGAGGCGCGAAGCGGCCCGGACGCCCCCGGCAGCGCGGCCCCCGTGCAGGGCGAGCGCGCGGTGAGGCAGGGAATTAGGGGTCCACTGCGGAGAGGCCCGGCTCCCCGCTCCCGGACCGGCCTTTGGGGCTGGTGTGGACCCTTGCCGCACGGCGGCGGCGTTTTGGGAGCCCGAGCAGGGAGGGCACGGTAGCTGGTCGGTTGGGGTGCGCTTAAGGACGGCAGAAGGGTCCAGAGAGTCCGCGGGCTGGGCCCAGGGAACAGGGACGGAGGCACGACATCGGCGGGAGGGGACGGAGGTGGGGAGTGGAGCGTTTTGGGGAAGCTCCTTTACAGGCGCCCACTGAGCGAGCGGCTGCCGCCCCCTGGCGGCAATTGTGGGAGGCACCTTGAAGGTGGTGAACAGGTGACCAAATGCCTCTAGCACAGGACCTGAACAGGGAACAGGACCCTCCTCTTCCCAGGGGGTCTTCCCCTCTACCCTCCAGTGAGAAAGACAGTTGTGGTGTGGTTAGAGCCAAGGCCGGGATGGAGAAGGGTGGGCAGTCCCTGCTCCAGGAAGCAGCAGCCTAAGTAAGTGTATGGAAAGGAAGTGATGCTGGCTCCATGCTACAGCCATCCTCTTCAATTGGGTTTGGCTCTCACCTGGGCCCTGCCCAAAGAAAGCCACTCACACACTAGTTAAAACTAAGTCAGATTTTTATTATTTTCCATAGACCACATCATTTAATAATAAAAAAAATAAAAATAAAAATTGAACGAAAGGAAAAAGGTGGATATAAAGTGGAACCGGTGGGCAGGAGGCAAAGGCTGCAGGACAGAGACTGGGAACTGCAGGGGCCCTGGGACTCAGGAGGAGATGCTGATTCAGCTCATAGGTGACCCAGTCCTGGCCCCGGCTGTTCCCAAGAGGGGGTTGTGAGTGCCCAAAGGAGGTGGTGAGCAGGATGGAGGAAAAGTGAGAGGTTTGGGGCTCCTAGCTGTTCCCCACCTCTAGGCCATCTCGCTTCCCTAACCTAGCTCTTCCCCCCTCACAGACTTAACAACGGGGAATGAGAGGGAGGAGAGGGCCAAGTCCTAAGAGACAGGCTATGGGGTGGGGGGAGATGGCCACTGCTCCATTTGGTATGTGGGGACAGGTGGCAGCCATACTTCAGCATTGGGCAGATGGTGTGAAAGAGCCCTGGTTCCAGGGTGGTGGAGATTGTACCTATCCCTTGTGGCCTTGAACCCCCGGGGGCAGATGGCTGGTGCCTGCAGCTCTCCCTAGTGTTCTCCCAGCTAGCGGCGCCCACCCCGGTCCCGCACAGGTGTGCTCCGACTCCGGCTCCTGCTGTGGCGCTTGGTGTCTCTGCGGTCCCTCTCCCTGCCTCGCTCCCGGTCCCTTTCCCTATCCCGATCTCGATCCCCCCTGTCCCGCTCCCTGTCCCTCTCTCTCTCCCTGTCCCTCTCTCGGCTGTGCTCTCGCCGCTTCTCCCGCTCCAGCTGTCGGGTCCGCTCCCGCTCCGCTTCCTTCTCCCGCTCCTTCTGCTCCTCTTCTTCTTGCTCCTTTCGCCGCTTCTCACGCTCCTTGGCCCGTTCAGCCCGCTCGGCTTCCTTCTGAACAATCTGTTGCAGGCAGGAAAGGCAGAGAACAGGCACCTGAGCTCTGCGCGCAGCATTCCCGGCTGGTCTATGTGCCCCTGGACCCCACACTCCTAGCTCAGGGTCACTGTCAGCTTTGCTGTTAAGCAGGAAGTGAGGGCCGCCCTTTGCTGGGGGCGGGGGGGTTCAGCAATCACATCTGTCCTTGCCCCAGAGCCCCAGTCGCTCCCTTTTATACCCATGGCAAGTAGTGGCACCATCCATGCCTGGCCTCTGGTATTTCCCTAGCTACTTAGGGACAAATCTCTTCTCTCTTTAGTTGAGTAGCCTAAGCATAAAACTCCCAAAAGGCCCATCACAAAGAAACTTAAATTTAAAAAGCAGAGAAATGGATGAGTTTACCAAATACAGATTGCTCAGCTAACTAAAACCAATTTCCACAAAGCGAAGCTGGCTCAGCCACCTACCTAGGACGCACACAGTTCCTGTCTTGGCATCTCCCTTCACCCTCTGAGGTTTGGCTTCTCTACGACAGACTCATCAGCTGGTTCTTAAAACTGCCTCCTTGATGCTTAGTTCCTTCCCTCATTATCCTAACCTGGGCCCACTAACTCTTGCAGGCTGGTGACTCCCCCCTTGCTCTGCCCCGCTTCCCTGATGCAGCTCTGAGCAGGGCAGGAGGCGGGCACTCACCTGGCTGTCAGTCAGCGGGAGCCAATAGATGCAGGGAGCTGCTTTGGTCTTCCGGAAAAGGTCATCCAGCAGCTTGGCAGGTGGTTCCTCCTGAGCTTTCTCTGAGGTGGAAGAAAGCGAATCAGACTTGATGCCTATGACCCTGTGCCCATCCCACCTACCACTGAGTATGGGTGCCCCAAGGCTAAGCACCTTTCTTCTCACTCTTCTTTTCTTTAGACTTTGCACGTTCCTTGCGGCGGCGGTCACGGGACCGTGATCGGGAACGGGGCCCTTCTCGAACTTTGTCCCGATCCCATTCGCGCTCTGATCGAGTTCGCTCTCGCCGCTCCATTTCCCGTTCCCGCTCTGCCCACTGTTCTCGCACCGCCCGCTCCTGTTCCCGCTGCTCTGCCCGGGGATGCTGTGGTGGCTGGGCTGGGGGTGGGGGCGGAGGGTGCAGAGGCCGTGGAACTCCCTGCTCCTCTGTCTTAGTTTCAGAGGGACGGTCCACCAAGAGGCCCCGATGATAATCCAGCTGTGGGCAGAGGAACAAGGACAGTCAGGAGGGAGATGACATCACTCCCACTGAAGCAGCTCAGGACCCAGGGCACAGAGACTTCAGAGCCCCATGGTTCAACTAAAGGAACCAAAGGGGAGGGAGAAGGAATCCCATTGACTGCAGGTTTGGCCAGGATCTTGGCTGGAATCTAGCAGATACTGGCCTCCCTTGCCCCTCCCCTCCCTCCTTTCCCCAGGTTTCTTACCTCATCTTGCTCAGCATAGTCAGCACAAAGGAATTTGGGATTGGACTGGGGCCATTTGACCCCATGTAGAGCGGTACGGGTAGCAACTGCTTCCTCTACTGTTGAGTACTGGGGGAGGAAGGGAGAGGGCAGAGGGTCACGACAGGCCTTCAATCCCTCTCACTGGCCACAACGCCCTCAAACCTGCCCACACTGGTCACAAAAGGAAGTATATGCCACAACCTGGAGAATCAGCTTCTTGCCCTCACCGTTACAAAGCAGTGGGATTTGATCTTGTCAATCCAGAAGGCCTCTTCCACCAGAGTTCCCGTACGTCCCAGCAATTCCTTCAGTTGGCCTAAAGTGAAGGGACGAACCTGCCAACGAAAATGGAGTTTCAGGGTCTTGAAGAAGGCAAGAACAATGCACATCTCACTGGTCTCAAGATTTCCCAAGCCGCTGTCACAGAAGTACAGCTTCAAAGTCTGGATGAGGGCAGAGGTTAGGAACCCTCTAGTAGGAAGGAGAGAAGAGTGGTAACACTAACTGAGACATTATGTGCCAGGCTCGCTGCAAACCCTCAAGACAACCCTGCAGGCTGATGCTTTTTTCAGATGAGGAGACAGGTGTGAGATGAAGCAACTCGCTCAGAGTCGATGAGTGAGTAAGCTGGCAGGTCTAGGTGCTGAACCTAAGAAGCATGAGTCCAAAGCTCCAACTCTTAACCACTAAACAAGGCTGCACCGTGGAAAACGACTTACCAAATTGGAGATGTGGACGATGTTACTGATCTTGCCCCGGGGCGGGGAGGGCACCTGAGCAGTTCGGACTGGGTCATCAATTGTAATGGAAACTCCAGACTTCTGCTGGCTAATGGAACGGCGAGTTAAAGTATCTCCTAAAGTCACTATCGAATAGAGCACACGAATGGTTTCAGTAGGGAGCACTGATGGCTCTTTCACCTCCAATATGACTTTCTTTTATTCCCTACCAAGCAGTCACTCTTCTGTCTAAATGTGCTGAGCACCTCTAAAGAGCAAGGTACTGTCTAGGCTAATCTCCTGACTATGGAGATTCAAAGATTAAACAGATTCGAACCCAGCCCTCACGTAGTTTAATAACTAGAAGGGGGAGATAAGACAAATATGTAAAACACTAATACAAGGCAGAAAACATGAAATGCTGAGAGAGGTCCAAATAAAGACCTCTGGGAATTCAGGGAGCTGCATTACTTTCCACTCAACGCTTCACCCACCTTTCTTTACTTCGTGCTCCACAGGTGGGGGCAAGGCCACCTCTACTGAAACCTGGGGAGGTATAGGGGGTTCTGCTTCAGGCTCCTTCTCTTCTTCCTCCTCTTCCCTCTGCCCATTCTCCTGGCCCTCTGCAGGCACTACCTGTAAGGTATCAGATAAAGTAGAGGTTCTTAAACTCCAAACTGGCACATTCTTTTCAGCCCCTGGCTTCCTGGTGAGAGAGGGTGGTACACTCAACCTAGCATGTTCCTTCCACTGGGGGAAAGATTTCATTATTAAGTTCACCTCCGCCAGACCCTGGGATTGTTAATGCCTCAACTCTGCCATGAGGAAAACTAAGGCAGGAGTCGGCATTTTTCACATTTTTTCTGTATAGGGCAAGATGGTAAATTATTTTAGGCTTTGTGAGCCATACAGTTTCTGTTGCAACTGTTCAACTCTGACATTATGGCACTCAAGCAGCCACAGACAAGAGTAAATGAACTGGTGTGGCTGTGTTCTAATAAAACTCGATTACAGGCAGCAAGCTGGACGTGGCAGCCTGCTGACCCCGAGAAGGGCCAATCAGCCCCACCCTCTGCACAGACAGGCGACTTCTCTTCTAGGACTCCATCTTAGCTCCTCAGCTCCGCGTCCGCTGCCCCCTCCCCCGACACTAGGGTGCAGGAGCCTTACCTGAGTGACGGTCCGGCATATTTTCAGCCCCTTGTCATGGGTCCCATCGTCACCATTACGCTCTGTTTCATCCTCAGAGATTCGGGAGTCATCAGCATGAAGATCCACAACAGCCTCCTGCCCCGCCAGGGGTTTGATGTCGGGGATGAGGCTCTGGGACACAGATACCCCCCACCCCGTTACACTGGGCCCATGTCTACTCCCATCTCAACATGTCTCGTCCTCCCTTCCCCGGCTCCTCCCACCTCACCTTAAGTGATTCAGTGGTGATACTGATGGAGGGTTTCTTCTGTGTGGTGGCTGTGCTGGCTCCCCAACGCCGCTTCCGACCAGGCTGGCCCCCCTCTGTGTCACTGTTTCCAGCTGGAACCCCCTTGGAAGCTGCTGTCCCCAAGAAATAGGACCCAACAGTTAGATGGTCTCAGGCCCTCTGCTGGTTCACACCACAACACCCACAGATAGCCTTCGACTCAAGTTTTAGTAAAAGGTAAACCTAAGGAAATGATATTTGGGGGCTGGGGAAACCGTGCTTCAGAGTGAACAACAGAAGGACTGGAGCCACTGCCTGACAGACGGAAACTACTGATCTTGAAGGCAATGTGGTCGGGGTAACTAGACTGGTGAGCAGTTGAAACTTTTAGTGGTAGAAATATCTGAAGTGCTGGAGAAGACAGACTCAGAACAAGGGAATGCAGAAAAAACAAGACTACGTGATACTAAAATCTAAGTCAAGTTAATTTAAGATCATGATGTGATCTATAAAGATCTCTTATACTTTTCTCAATTCAGAGTTCCTCATTGGGAAAATGTTAAAAATGTCACTGTTTGAGGGGTAGAACCCTCTCATTTTCTCAGATGCTCTTTTAGAATAAAGCATAGACTCGTAAGCATTATATAGGAGCCCCTCAAAGTCACTCCTGGTTCTGCGGGTTCAGATATCTGAAAGAATAAATGCATGTAGGACTGGACAGGAAACAGTGAGACACCTCAGTTTATCTCACTAGAGTTAAGACAGAAATATGGCTGCGAAAAATGACAGGGATTGTCTGAAGTTTTGAATTTCAAAATGGAACCCTACATATGCCAAGAAGGTTGACTGGCTGGGTGGAGGTGGTGGGGTGGGAGGGGGTGACCCAAGAATCCCACTGAGAGCGAACAGGAATCTATTCCTCTATGAACTCGGATTTTCCTGGTATTCTTGACCTTGATCAGGGATGTGGGGCTGGACTTACAGACAACGGAGATCTTCCTCTTGAATGATTTGGGCAGCGAGCTCTGTATAGAGAAGAGAAAGGGAAAAAAGAGAAAGAGACACACCCCACAGAGAGGGGGGAAAGAGGTTAGATGGGGCAGTCTCAGCATAGGCTCCAAAGACACAGAGAGAGAGAGACACAGAGACAGACAGAGACCAAAACAGAAGCGGCAAACGGCAAAAACGAAGCAGAATCAATGCAAGTTAGAGAAAAAAATAAAACCAAACATCACAGCAGGGAAAAGTCATCTAGTCCATATCACACCTGTGTATTAGCTTAACCAGAAATAAGCTGGAAGAGGAATTCAGCAGTCTCACAGCCCTTTAAAGGCGTTGGTCACGCCCTCTTCCACTGTCTCTACAGGGCGAGAGGATGCCAGCCCAAGAAGCCGTGCCCAGAACTGGGTCATCTAGTCCTCCGAGGTCTTCCTTGCTACCTCGAGGAAAACACGAGGAAACAAGGAAAACCCACTCTGGGATGGCAACTTCAACAAAGTAACCCTCCTCCTTTTCTCAATGTCCAGCCTGACATCCACCGACAGTGGCTGTGAGTCACTCAGACAGCGACTGTCAGGACTGCCCAGACCCCCGGCAGCACCAGACCCAGGGGAGACGAGACTCCTGCGCCCAGTGGCCGCAGAAAGAATTGAAAGGTGTCTGTGCTAAAGGAAGGTTTTTACAAAGGCAGACTGTCCCCAGGGGAAGTCTCAGACTTCCCAACCACTGTATAGAGCTCTACGCGGAGCCTGAATGTGTCCTCTGTGGCCAGGGTTTAAGCCTTAGTGGCTCTGCCAAGGACCAGAAACTTCCAAACTTTCTTTCCAGCAAGTTTCTGCCCCAAACATTCAGTAGGGAAAGACTATGGACAGAGCAAAAAGAGGAAGAGAGAGAGAAAAGGGGAATAGAGCATTTTTAGATTTAAATGCTTATTTCTGGAAAAACTAAGACCTACCACCCTTCTAAAGGGTAGGGCAGGACCCTCTTGATAAAATCCCTTTTCCCCATCCACCCCTCAGCCCCGTTTGTGTCGTCTAACCAAGTCTCCTTGGTCTCCGTTAAGGGCCAGCCTGACCCCTAGCCGGGCCGCTCTCGATGGGTAAGTTAGTGAGAAAAAAAAAGGTCTTAATTAAAACAGGAAAACATGAACCAAATAAATAAATAAATCCAATAAAGAAATCAGAAAAATAAAGATAAAGAAAAAAATTAAAATAAAAGATTTTAAAAAAAGAAGAAGAAGAAAATAAAGAAGAAAATAAACTAGGAATATGACAAATGTTCCAGGTACCATCTCACACCTGGGATCTTCAGTTCAGCCAATCGCACCTCACTGTGTACTGTATCTAGTCAACCGCCGGTCCAATCAGAATGAGCCCTCCCTGCTAGGCGCTGTGCAATTGGTGGGGGGTTGGGTTGGCAAAAAAGGTGGGCGCACGGCGTGGTGGTCAGCACGGCACTGCCAGAGTCCTCCCAGGGGCGCAGGGGGGGCGGGAGGGAAACGTGTAGGGGGACGCTGCCCAGTTTCCATGATGTCAAGACAGTTCACTGGTGGTGGCCAGGCTCAGCGAGGGGTACAGGGGGAAAAGGGGCAGAGACATCAGTCCCAGCCCTGTAGGGGCATCATCTTGCAGTCCCTGATGAGATGGCCTGTGAGTAGCAGGAATGGTCCTGGCCTTTCATCGTGAGAGGCAGGCAGGACCCTATGTCCACCAGTGGCAGGCTGCAGCAACACCACCACCCAATACTTGGAATCCAGGTGATGACTCCAGAGTCCCTTTCTCCTCTGCCTGTAACTGGGGAGGGGGTCCTCTCACCGAGTGGGATCATGGAGCCTCTGATGAAGGCAGCCTGGGGGTAGTAGTGGATAGCCCCAGGACCCGGCACACATTCAGCAGCAAGGTCAGAATACTTTTCTTCTGAGTTGTGTGTGGCATCTCCTCAGGGACTCCAGCTGAGACAGTGGTTCCAGTCAGGTGGATGGATGAGCCCCTGCCTCCAGGGATGGAGGAGAAGTTGGAGCAACCAACATGCTGCCCTTCACCATGGACAACAGGGACCAAAGGGAAGTCCATCTGATGAGCAAGTGGTGATACATGGCTGGGCTGTCATCAGCATTAAATCCCTGGGCTCAGACCCTAGACATCTCTGCAGGGTTCCTAGTCGTCACAGCTTAAGCAGAGAGCCCCACTCGGTATTTTACAGCACGGCACTGTGATCACAAACATTGACTCTTTAGGAGGTCTTGGTGCCCTAGATGGGAATCCCAACAGTCTGTAGCAAACAAGGCAACCCACAGTCCTCAAAAGGGCAAGGGCATGTGGGCAGGCGCCCCAGCAATGATACAAGCTCTTCTTGGGGTGTCCCAAATAGGGAGATGATGCAAGTCCACCCCTTTCCAAATGACTTTTGCTTTCTCAATAGAAGTCTCTCCAGAACAGTGCTCTTCTTGGCCCCCTGATGTAAGCAAGGCAGGGAGGCAAAAGGGGGCCCATCACAGGATCCCATACACATGCCCCCCTCTGGCCAAGACACCTGGATAGCAGACTCGGCTCTGACTGGGCAGCTCAGTAGCAGCGGGTGGGTCCAGAGGAAGAGGCGGCATCAGCGATTGGCCAGTTGGGCAGGGTTATATTTTACGGGCGGATTATCGTACATGAGGTACTTGGACAAAGTTTTACGGGGAAGAAGGACCTTGTAATAAATAATATTCTGCACATCAAATCACTTTCACCGGCCCCCACCCCCGCAACACACACCAAAGAAAGGCTACACACACAACACTCCCTCCCACCCGTTTACCCCACTCCCAAACCCAGCTAATTCTTTCTCCAATACTTTAAGAGCCAAGAAGACTTCGCTGGCTCTGATGGGGGGAGCCCCCTGAATTGGGTGCAGGACATAAGATAATATATATGCCAAAAAAAGAGGTAGAGGGGTCAGAGAAATGGAGACGGGGCCTTCAGGATCATGCCAGGTGCTGGCTTCCAAGTGGCTACATCTCTGCAAAGAGACCACTGGGGGGCAGATGAGGAACAAAAATTCCTCAGCATGGCTGGTCAGCTGAGAAACACCAAAGCCCACTAGGTGGCGTTGAGCTCCAACAGGCTTTTAAAAAGGAGGGAAAGCTAAAGTAGTTAGTTACCTCAGGGAGAAGCTTGAGAAGGTAGCAGGGAAAGCTGAGCTCGAGTCTTAGATAATCTAAGGGCCATTAACTGACTTTCCCGTTAGTTACAAACTTCCAAGAGACTGCACTGCACTACCTCCCCAACCAGGGAAGGGGAACGAATGAGCCCTGTCTCCATCACAAGGGGTCTCCCTTGCTAAACCAGCGAATTCTCCCTTGGCCCTATCCTGATCCAAGTCTCCATCTAGCCCCTTCTTTAATCTATCCCACTGTGTAAGAGGGATCACCAGAGTGTCTACTCTTTCCCCTAGGTCCACTCCTGCCCACCCACCCCAACAGGTGGCTTGGATATTTACCTCTTTCTTCTCCTCATCTTCGGCACTGCCTTCTGGGCGGTCATCATTGCTGACTTGGTCTGCACTAGGCATGGGGGGCTCGGGAACCTCATTTTCAGGTCTGTTTTCACTTGTGTCCATGGTCACTTCCTCCTTCTCCTCACTGACAGTATGGGGGGAGGATGGGAGGGAAGGGCAGGAAAGAACCAAGGGGAAGAGAGAGCAAGACTTTAGGTTTTGGGTCAGGAAACCCCCATGCCTCATCACTTGGGTGGGAAGAGGAGGGCTGCTTTTCAGATCAAACTAGAGAGCTTGCCCCCACAGGAAGAGTGGGAAACCGTTTTTCTTGGGGAAAGAGCATAGATCACAGCAACCACATCCACCCACTGCCCAGATGGGATAAAGCTGTGTCGTGTGGGGTCAGGACTCCAACTGTTTGTTCTTAGGTAATTCACCAGAGTAATTCACCAGAGTACTCCTGTATGAAGAGGAGAAACACCCTCTCTGGAAACAATCCCTCAAAAGTGACTGTGATTTGCGCACAACCCTGTGGCCTCCCTATCCCCTGGCACCTTTATTTAACAAAACTGCATGAGAAACTAAGGGAAGGCTGATTCCTTAAAAAGACGAGACAGAATGGCCATGGTTGTGGCAAATGGTCCCAACCTTGTGTTTAATCAACTGCTTAATAGGTAAAGGCCTACCGACCCAGAGGCTCTGGAGACACCAGGAATGGAGAAATGGTGGGGGTGGGGCTGCAGAGAAAGGAGGGCTGGTGAGGGTTCAAGCTTCAACAAGGACCCTCCCTCTTCCAGAAGGGAAGACTATAACTGCTGGAGGGTATGAAAGCTCAGAGAAGAATCAGGCCACTTTTACCTGCTCAGAGGTGTAGGAATTGTTCTTATATTCAGCTTTCGCCCAGTTTCTCCCACTCCCTCATTCCAACTTCCAAGAGATAAAGAGAGCAGGCCTCCCAGTCAGGACACGCCCTCCCCCACACCATGCATCCCCCCCCAACACTGAACCCACTCCCCCACTGAATCACACAAGTTAGCTCCCATTTCAGGCAATGAATCCCAGAGATTCACTTCAGATAAACTATCTTCCCATTTTCTTTTTCTGCCTTCATCTCTAACGTCTATCTCTAATCTCACCCCCACTACCACCCAAACACTGGGGAAAAAATATCAAATCAAGATGATCAGAGGCCTAAGTTTCATGAGAGGGGAAAGCAAGCCTCCCCAGGCTGATAACCACCACCAAAAAACTCAGCATTCCTGACAGGCTGCCTGACACCCAGAGGTCAGAACAGCCTCCCCAGAGCAGGCAGGGAGGGATGCACGGGAAGGGGGAGGGGAAAATCGGAACTGTGCCCCCAGCTAACAGGCCCCCACAGAAACACGCGCTTCAACTGCTGAAATCTAAAGAAAAAGCTTATCCAAAAAATACCTATTTCCCACATAGAAAGGGCAAGTGGGGCCAATTAGAAATCGGGCAGGAAGGACAAAGGGGGAAAGCAGAATGACTGAAAACAAACCAAAACGAAAGACGGAGTGAAAGCCATGGGGAAGAGAAGGAAGATGAGGTGGGCTAAGCGGTGGGGAAAAGGGATACATGGAAACTTGAAGCTCTCACCCTTCTTTGCTTTCTGATAACATGATTTTTTTTCTCCCCCTGGAAGTGCTGTTTATCCCTTTCTGGAATGGAAGAAATAACAAAAACCAAACAAAAAAAAATCCTAAAAAAATTTTTAAAAAAACAAACACCTTCCTTGTCCCAAGATCCCACCACCTCCTCCCCAGCCACCCGATCCAGAGAGAGAAAATCAAGATGCAGCAACTGGGGATCCAAAAAATGGTAAATGGAAGGGGAGGTGGTGGTGGTGGTGAGGGGAGGCTAAAAGAGATCTGGCTTTTAAGAGATAAGCGTTAGGTCCTCACGGCAAACCCCGAGTTCAGCTGGATTGGTCTCTCTGGAGAAGGAGGAGGAAGCGGGCCAGGCTGCTGGTAGTAGCTGGCTCTATTGTATTGGCGGAGCGGCGGCGATCAGCCGGAGACATGCAGGGGAGCCATCTTGCCACTTACCCAGCAGCCCGTGTGTGCGGATGGGGGAGGGCCCTGCTGCAGCAGGGGAGGGGAAAGAAAAGAGGGAGGGCGCTGAGTGAGCAAGGTTCTTATCCTCTGGCAGGCCACAGGGAGCTCACTGCTGGCTCAATAGGCCTGGCCTTTTTCCTTCTTTTCTCAGGTTACAACAGCTACCGAGGCCTAGCCCCACAGGGAGAGGGTGCTCTCTCCTTGTCTTCCCAGGGGGCGGGGAGGGGGCTGGGTGGAGAGGACACACAAAGTTACAGCTGCTTGCTTGGAAGATTCCAGAGAAGAAGAAAGGAAACAGCAGAGCTGGGAGTGAAACATGATTAAAGGAGGAAGATAACAAAGCCAAAGTTGAAAGAGACACAGAATGGAGGAGTATGAACAATTTTTTATGTGCCCACCTCCCTCTCTCCAAGAAGCCACTCGTGGAACACTGAAACCAACTCAGCCAGTTAGCTGTTCAAGGTGGGGAGGTGGGATGAGAATTGGCACTATCCAATCACTACAGTAAGTGGCTGCTCACCCCAGCAATGACCACATGTTACTACTCCAACCTGCCCTCTCGCCAGGGATGGTGAAAGGAGTGGATAAGCAGAGAGTTCCTTTCTGAATTCCCTGTAGAGGGGGGAGAGGTGTCTCTGAAGAGATGACAGACAACTTTGTTTCACAAAGTCTTTAATAAGGTCACCCTGCCCCAGGGTCCACTGGAGCCAGAAAGGAAAAGGATAAACAGCACAAGGGGACCTTGGTTGGCTGAAGCCTGAAGGCCACTTGAAGCAAGGGCTCCAAGGTGAGGGCTGTGAAGTAGATAAGGGTGGGGGTGATCCGCTGGGCAGAAAGTGACTGGGAACTAAACGGAAATTATTAATCATGGGCATCTTCACCAGACTAAATGTGAAACAGGAAGCTGACTCTTAACCATTCAAAAAAAACACTTGAGTAGATGTTCAAAATGCTCATTTGTTGACTGCAAAGGTGCTCCTTTTGTATCCTAGTGGCAGTAGAGGTTTAGCACTAAGACAAGCTTCTGGGTACTTAACCAGGAATAAAATTTCCTCCCTGCTGCTTAAAATCTTAAACTTACACGCCAACTGCATGCTAAAGCACTCATGCTTATACACTACTCTAAGAGTTCCTTTTCACTGGGTAGTCTCGGTCTGCTCAATGAGATTGAGAGTTCTAGAGTCAAACTGGCTAGGGCCCAATCTTGGCCGTGGCCCCACCCCCATATAAGTGATGTGATACTGGGCAAGTCCCTTATTCTGTGCATCTATTTCTTAACCTGTGAAGTGGAGATAACAACAATACCTATCTCACGGAACAGCATGATAAGGGTTCACTCTTAAGAGTCTGGTTTGGACGACACCCCAGGTCAAGGTAAGGATGTGCATAAACACATATACATTTAATAGACCATTATTTCATTTGATGCCACCTACGGAGTTTTGGAGTTTCCTCAAACAGTAGACTGCTCTTTCTCGGATGCAAAGGCATTCAGTAACTGGCTTGACAGATTTTCGGTAATGCCCTCATCGCTGTATAATAACCGCTGGTTTACTTGCCCCTCACCTCCACTCTGCAGAGTTCCTCAAGGTCGGAGACTGCATCCCTTGGCCCCTAGCCCAGGGCCTAACACAAAGAAATTCTCAGTAAATATTTCTGAATTAGGTTGTCATTGTGGGTACCAAGTGGACACTTTAATAAATGCTTGCTGAACTAAAAGTATTCTTCTTAAAAATTTTTTTCAGATTCAATTTCTACAGAGAACATTATCCTCAAACACCCTCAAATAAATGTTCTCTGTCCATCAATTGTCCTAAAATACCTTCAGCTGCCAATATGCCTCTCCAGAAGTAGCTTCCTTGGAGGAAGAATTTTCTTTTATTGGAAATTCTATCTCGTTTTTTCAAGAATAAGAATGTTACCACGTTATCTTTGGCCTTCTTAAGACACAGCGAGTTTGTGCCGCCTATTTCCCCGTGATCAATTCTGTGGGATCCAAGAATTCCCAAGACTTTATTTTCATAAGAAAAAGAGGAATTCTTGAAATTGCCCCAAAAGGGGACTTGATCTACTTGTAGGACCAGTCCCAAAGCCTTGTCAGCTATGTGTCAGAGCTCCACGCAGCTTTTCTGTGTAGTCTCTTTGAGACAAAAGGCATCTCCCTTCCCACTTATTTAAGTTCTTGCACAAATGTTTCTGATATCTTTGAAAAATATGTGAAATTGCATGGGGGTTGGGGGTGGGGGATATCTATCCACAATTAAATAGCACACAAAGCATTTGTAGCCCCGAAGAAAAGGAGAGAACTACTTGGAGGCTAGTAACATCACATTACAGTTCATATCTGATTATGAATGAGATTCAGAGAAGCTAATGGAAAAGGAAATTTCTGTAAGCATATATGTTTGAATTTTAGTTATTGTACAAAATTCATGAGCAGCTAAGAACCTGATGTGAAATTTAATAAGAAATAGTGGGATTTGACTACCCTCAGGCAGTGAGATTTAAATATAGAATACCCTCAGGAGCATGCTAGTTCCAAGATAATCAAGGACAGTATGATTTTGGTGGTGTGTGTTCTTAGATACCAATTTCTTAGTGATCAAACTCTACCGATGACAATAAATTCTACTTTTTAAAAATATGGGTCATTTGCTATATTGGCATTGTAGGTCCCCTGGGGAGTATCAATTACACTGTCATATTGGCTTAAAGGGCCATTTCCTTCCTCCTGCTCAGGCAAAAAGACAAATAAGCATAGTGCCAAGAACCCAAAGCTGCTATTGCCTGCAAGGTTTGTGTACACAGGAAGTTTGTACTCAGAAAAATTCAGGTTTGAATTAACTACTGCTAGATGATACAGCTGCCCATACAAAGTTCTTTTTTTTCTCTCTTTTTTTTTTTAACGTAAAAAGAGAGTACCATTATTTTCTGCTGTATGAGGACCTTTTGGTTATACGCGTAGCAGGCAAAAGACTGGATTCTGGAACACGGCTCAACTGAAATAGGACTGAGGGCTCATAAATTCCTGCTCCAAGCAATGAAAAAGACACCTTACCTCATAAATCTAGAATTCCTTAGGCCACAATCAGAATCAGAATGTATTTAACCAAGCACAGCAAAAAAGTTAGGCAATGTCTTCCAAGTGGTGAGAGGTCCTTGAAGTAAAGCTTAATTTTTTTTCTTAACATGTTATTGAATCAATAGGCCCTAGCTCTGTTTTTTAAAGTCATGTGACTTCTTGTTGAGACAGACAGGAAAACCAAGGTTAAGCCACAAATGGTCTTTTCCATTTAGTACTGTTGATGCCATTTCTAAAATTGGCCAGGACTCCAGAGGTCACCAGGCTGAACACTAGGACTCTAGAGGGGTGAAAGACCAGGAGGAGTGTTGTGAATCAGTTGTAGGGCCTCCAGAAATGTAGGCAAACTTCTCAAAGATTCATTTACCAAATCCATTGCCAGAATAGCCCATGGGTTTAGGCCTTTGGGCATGTCTTTTGGATAGGCTGCTGAATAGACCATCTGGAAAGCAGGCAGAAGGAAAGCAGGTAAGAGGGATGCATGTGAGATACTCCTGAGCTCACACTGCATTTCTAATCTATAGGCTGCTCCACTGAAGCCTGCCTAGGCAACAATGGACAACCTCTGTATTTGCCCAAGGGGCCACTTGTCTATCACCTTGCCAGGATCAATGTGACTAGATTACCTCAGTCATAAAATGAAGATCAAAGCCACCCTTACCTGGGGAGAAAAACCCTGTATATGACTCCAAACTTCATCTGTCCTGGACTTGCATGCAAAAGTCCAGAAATAAAGATGCTTCAAAACAGCATAAAGTGCCATTCTACTGCCAGGATGTCATAGAACTTTAGGGCAAGAAAAGAGCTTTTCAGAAAATTACTTGTTCTCAAGGTGCATAGGAGGCAGTTGCTCAGGCCCAATTAGTAGCAGGCTGTCAACACCTACTTCGAAACTGCCATTATACAAACGACACGCGGTACCCCCTTGGGATGGAGGAGGGGAGGGCAGCTATTATCTCTGGTTGATGGATATGGAAGGGAAGGTGTCACCCCATCTCCTCATCGATGGTGTAGCTGGGGAATCCTGAACACCTTCCAGAGAATCCGCTGGATTTTCACTTTATGGTCCTAGAAGAAAAACTCTTTTCCAAAGGATAATGTACCCATCCCAAAAGGGAAAAATAAAAACTTTTCAAAGGAAGTAGAGTGAAGTTTTGGCTTTCAAACCAAAAATGTAATGGCCACAAGATGGCAGCAGAGGCAAAAATATTAGAAGGGACAGTAGCAAGGGTATATCCCAAGGCAAAAGATACACAGTAAGGAGCACAAAACTATCATTAAAGTCATAAGGAAATGAGATAATAAATCACGTCACCTGCCCACCACCCTCCAAAATCACAGGCAAAAGACAGTCTGAAGCTCTCAGAAGAATGTAAATCATTAGTCTTTTACATAAGGGGGAAAAATCATACTGATGGTATTAGTGTTAAAATGACATAAAAACAATCATGGAACAACTTTAGGCCAACTGTCTATACAGGACATTCCCCAAAGCAGTACAGGATTCCTAAAGTCTAAAAGCTAAGCCATCTTATTTCCACAATGCTTTTCTTGTTCATTTCCCAGGAGACTTTGAAGTCAGGCATTTTGTTTCAATGGCTTCTTAATTTATAACATCTAGCTCAGAATAACGAAGGACATACCTGTTCAATTTCAAATTTTAAACTGATATAAGAGATTTTTCTAGGACTAAATATAAGGAATAAAAAACCCACATTATTTGTATAAATGATAAAATCAAGGGTCTTAGGGGCCCAGGAATAAGCTTCTGACTTGATATGGACTTTACTTTTTGCTGTACTGTATGCTGTTAAGAGCTAACTAAGATAGACTGTGCTTAATAAATTTAATGACAGATAATAACCAGGGAAAATACAGACACTAAAAACCAGCACCCTCTTGTGCTTTTCTTTGTAGACCCTCAGTATCCTTTATTAAACTGTTCCTAGGCTCAGTTGGAGCTGATAAACGTGAGCTACAGATTGAGTTAAGATGCCCTGAGTCAATTTCCTTACACCATCTTTAGTTTGGGAACAGAAACCTCTGCTGACTGCTCCTTAAAGGAATTATTTTGGTTAGATGATTCCAGATATGGGTTTCCTTACGCTCTCACCGCTACTTTCCAGACTACTTTAAGAGTTCTGGTGGCAGCTGCCAACACAGTAACTGAAGTCTAGCCTTTGTCCAGATAAAGCTCTGCCTACATGTTTTAAAAGGAAACTAGACAGCTTCGTCAAAGAACTCCAGGGAGCAAAGAACTATGACACACTTCTCGGTCCCTGTTACACCCCAGGTGAGATATATCACTTACACTGTGAGATGACTCCTTTCTGATTCCAGTAGGTGAGAAGTCTGAGTCTCTGAGGTTTGGGGCTGTGTGGCAGCTGGTGGCTCTGCCTCTTCAGCTTCACACTTCTTTGGGCTCCCCTGTCAGGACAAACATAGCAAAACAAACATAGCAACGTACTTAAATCTGCTTGGTTTCTTTTCTTTAACGTGGAGCTGGTAAAAGGCAGAGCAGGACACAGTACTAGCTCCACACACAGCCCTATATATCTTCGTTATTTCATTTTAGAAAGTGGAATGGAATACTGCTTAAAGAACTTCTACTCCAGCAATCATTTTATTAGAATTCTTTTTCGAGGGCTGGCCCCATGGCTTAGCAGTTAAGTGCGCGTGCTACACTACTGGCAGCCCGGGTTTGGATCCCAGGCGTGCACCGACGCACCGCTTCTCCGGCCATGCTGAGGCCACGTCCCACATACAGCAACTAGAAGGATGTGCAACTATGACATATAATTATCTACTGTGGCTTTGGGGGAAAAAAAGGAGGAGGATTGACAATAGATGTTAGCTCAGAGCCAGTCTTCCTCAGCAAAAAGAGGAGGATTAGCACGGATGTTAGCTCAGGGCTGATCTTCCTCACAAAAAAAAAAAAAAGAATTCTTTTTCGAGAGAACTGAGAAAAGGCTTCCTTTGGGGCAGAAAAAAGACTTTCTGAGGAAGAACGACCTTGAGAGCCTCGGAGATGAGAACTCTGCTGCTTGGCCTCATGTAGAGCTTCCATGAACCCAGGAGTTAGAAATGAGTTAAGCGGAATCTAACAGGTATCCCAAACTCCTTCATTTCTGTTGAACCCTGTCCATACTGACCTTTCAGTTTTATAGTTAACACAACAAGGAAAATCACGCCTAATCTTCCATCTCCCTCTAGGGAGGGGGCATGATAGCCTACCCGGTCAGGCTGTAACCTCTGGGTCACATGCTTTTCGGCTGGCTCAGGTTGGCTCATACGCCTCACTTGGATAGAGGATGATGTGGAAGTCTCCTTTGGCTCAAGGACCTGCAGTTGTGGCACTGGTGGAGTTACAACCTCCTGACCAGAAGAGGGATCTTTGGTTTCAGTGTAGCTGGTGCTGCTGTCCCTGGAGACTCCAGGGCTCAGAGACTGAAGAAATGAAACACATAAGACAAATTATTTTATATAGTATATATTCAGTAGATCACTGAGTTTTCCAACTTACATTGACCCAATTTAATACTTTGGATCTTTCTGTCCCTATGTTTATTGCTGTTTGAGTTACTGATCTCCCTAACTTCCTAGACTACTCAACAAATTATTTATTAAGTCCCAACTAGGTGCTGGGTACTGGGATACACACATAAAAAGGCATGGCCATACCTTCAAGAAGTTGATAGTCTAATGGAGGAGATGGGTAAGTGGATTCAACATTCTTTGGAATCAAAGGGATTCAAAATGAAAAAGGATCCTATTTAGGGATCAATTAATTGAAAATTTAACTCTGAAATGAGGGGAAAGTAATCACTGAACTGGGACTAAAGGAAGCTTTTCCTATTCCTGCCAGAAATCATGATAGGTTCTCCCGGGGTTGAAAAACACTGGAGTACAGAAAGAACATCAACGCAACCAGGATTTTCCCACACTTACTTTTCTGCTGCTGCTTGATGCTGAACGGGAACGAGAATGGGAACGTGACCTGGACTCTGATGTTGATCTAGAGCCCATCTTGGATCTACCACAAGGGTTGGTGTGAGTACGTGCCCGAGATACACCTCTCTGCTTGGATCTTGGAGGTGAGTGAGACTGAGAGCCTGAGCTGTCAGGAGAGCGAGATCTTGATCTAGAACTGGAGGATGAAGATGAGGAGGACCGGCTAGAGGATGAGCCAGCTGATTGTTTTACTCTGTGGCTTGAGAGAAGGGTATGAGAAGCCCTTCTGTCTTCCTTCTGTTCCAAAGAAGGCTGTTTCAGAGACTGCTCAGTGACCCCTTTGGCCGGTGCTAATTCCTCGATTTTTAGAGAGAGCGGTTGAGCAGATTTTTCTGATTCAGTTTCAAGACTCTTCTGGGTTGAGGATTCAGCTAGTGTGCTTTTCTGAACTGGAGGCAGGACATTTTCCTTGGGCACTTTCTCTGCTGGAGATTCCGCTTTGGTGTCTGCAGGACTTGACAAAGGAGACAGGCCTCCCACCGACTGGACAATATGCTGAGATATTAATAGCTCCCTGGCCTTAGCATCTGTATTAGGAGGAGATAACTGAATGAGGACAGGAGGGGCTGGGCCTTCCATGGGCTCTATTTCTTCTTCACTTTGGAGTTGTGTATTAGGTGGTGAAGATGCTTCCTTGGTAAGTAAAGGTGGGGGAGTCTCCTCCTCACTGGCAGTCTGCTCTGGCTGCAGCACAAGAGGGGCCTTCTCCAGATCTTCAGTCAATCGAGGAGGGGAAGGGGACTTTGATTTTTCCTCCAAGCCTTTTGAAGATTTTATTTCTCTTTCTTCTTCCTCAAGGGGAGAAGTTGTTTTCACCTCTTTTTCCTGCTGATGTCTGGCCAGATGACTTCTTCTAGCCTCTTCCTGGGACCTTGTAACTCTCCCTCCTCTCTCTAACCCCTCCTGTTCCTGGAATCTTATGGTTTGGGGTCTCTCATCCATCACCTCCTCTGGTTTTGCAATGGGTATCTCTTCTCCCTCTTCTTTCTTAAACTGTTTCAGGACTGGTGCATCCCTAGATTTTTGTCCCTCATCTTCTTCTTCCTCCTCTCCCTCCTCTTCTTCCTCTTCCTCTTCCTCCTCTTCTTCCTCTGTTTTCAAATTTCGATCTGCTCTGACCCTCAGGTTTCTGGAAGGTGTTTCTTGATCCTCTTCCTCCTCAACAGCCTGGCTGCACTCAGAGAGTTTAGCTGCTCTTGCCTGAAAGAAAAGATATACAATGGTTCCAAGTGTATTTGCTCACTATCAAGAGAGGAGAAAAAAGTATCTCACGAGACACACACAGGAAGGAGAAACTCAATGATATACACTTTCAGCAACCAGAAATAAGTGTGACAGTAGACAAACATGACTAACATACGCTCTTACAGGACTTAAAATAGAGTGACCAAGAGGAATAGAATAATGAAACTGCTAGTAGTTCATTTTTTAGCTTCAAGCTTTAAAAATAAATATAAACTGAATATCTAGAAAGTGTGTGGGGGGACTGACCTATTATCACTTAATGTGATTATTTTTTATCATTTTGGTATATTTAATTTTCTTCTCATCATTTATTTTCCACAGTCATAATTACAGTACACATATACTTTTGTATTCTGCTCACTTAACATCGTATCATATAGCTTTAAGGTTTTAATTGAATAATTATCTCTTTTCTAATAATGTGCTTTAGGAATATAGACCAAGCCTAACTTTTACAAGTTACTTTTATTTTCTATATATTCACTTAAAAATCTAAAGGCCAGAGCAGATCTAAATTAAAAAAAAAAAAAATGATGGGCCGGCCCCATGGCGTAGCAGTTAAATGCATGTGCTCCGCTGCTGGTGGCCCGGGTTCGGATCCCGGGTGCGCACCACCACACTGCTAGTCAGGCCATGCTGTGGTGGCGTCCCACATAAAGCAGACGAAGCTCGGCACGGATATTAGCTCAGGGCCAGTCTTCCTCAGCAGAAACAGGAGGATTGGCATGGATGTTAGCTCAGGGCTGATCTTCCTCACACACACACAAAAAAGAGAAAAAGATGATAAAGAGGAGAAAGATGACTGTATAGAAATCTAGAGAAACACCCATTCTGTAAGAGTCTGAGGAGGAAGAGGAGGAGGAGCTGTCCAAAGCACTACCCAAAGAGGTGATAGAAGCTTTAGGAGGTGTCTGGTTACCTGTCTGACCCTGGATGATCGTCTTTCTCCTTTCCTTGGTTTCTCATCATCAGATTCACCTTTCTCTTCAGAAACAGAGGAGCTTTTTCCTATCAAATGAAAGAAAATCAAGTCACACTCATAACGTGAATGTTCATTCAAGGCTGCCTTCTAAAATTCAATCATAGCATATGAGCTGGTCTATACATTATCTATATCAATTTTTTGACTTCTATGCAGAAGAAAAGACTACACACAGCCCTAAGGGTCAGGGTCTTATTGATAATTCCTGCTGTGCATGTCTGGAATATTTTTAATATCCCAAAGGCAATTCACATATTACAAATAACTCAAATAAATGTAAAATAATTACCAGTGGCTTCAAATTGTCTAGCAGGGATGTACAAATACAAAGTGCTGTTATTTCTATAAAATGTTTTGTCACTCTGAATCAAAGCTCAAGACTTCACTATGTTTAGTGTCCATTTTTTTGGACTGCCTATCGCTACCACTAGTTTTGACCAAAATATTATGACTAATATACCAGTTGTAAAACAACAATCTCACAAAATAAGTACTTAGATGAATGGTTTTCAGGGCCCTAAAGTTCCTAGAAATTATTTCAAGCCAACTGGACAGGGCCTCAGAAATGGGCCCTCTCAATTATGTTTTATATATGGAGCTCAAGGTGAGATTTTTTTTAAGGAAAAATAAGTTCTATTAAAAGAAAGCTTGAAAACCACTAATCTAGGTCATTCCAAAGAATAACTCCGTGTAAAACTGTAAAAAAATTTCACTCACATTCCATGAAGGAAGGTAACTGTGGGTAAATCAATTAAATAATTTGGGTCTCAATGTCTTGACTGAGAAAGAGGGGATGGACTGGAAGATTTCTAAGTTTCCTACCAGTATTGAACTATTACACAGAGTAGCAATGCAAATATTGATAAGAACCAGTTTAGAAAAGGGCCTAAAGATAATTATCTTCTAGACACTTACTCAGCTAGATTGGGGTCAGTTTTAATACAGTGCAAAGGGTGTAAATGATTCACAAAACCATGTTCTACACGAATAGTATTTAAACTAGTGCAGATAAGGCAGACAGTGTGAGCTCTAACCCAACGTCTTCGCTCATTTCTGTATCCCAACAATCTAAAATGAACTAGATCTTTGCTTTTGTAACTAAAAGAAGAAACTTCACTTGATTAACAGGATCTCTGAATATATACTATCTCATATCTGGGTTAGTGAATAAAAACTTGCATTATGAGTGTGTGTACAGGATCTGTGGTTAAGATATATAGTGACAGGCCAGATTCTTTAGCAAATATCTGAAGAATAATCTGTAAGAGATTAATAAATAATGTAGTGGCTGTAATAATCAATGATTTCATAACTAAATGACCTGAATAGGTTAAATTACAAAATGAGTAAAACCAAAACAAAAGACATTATTATTCATGAATTTTAGGCCAAGCTCCTTTGCAAGTATAAGGAGAAGAAACTTATTATAGTTTAACAAAAAAGGAAAAAAAGGCAGGGGGGTGTGATGAATAGGCAGAGCAGAGGATTTTTAGGGCAGTGCAAATACTCTGGATGATACTATAAGGATAGATACATGTCATTATACATTTGTCCAAACCCACAGAATGTACAACATCAAGAGTGAACTCTAAGGTATCTATGAACTTTGGGTGATTACGATGTGTGAAGGTAGGTTCACCAATTTTACGAAGTGTACCACTCTGGCGAGGGATAATGGGAGATTATAGGAGAGGCTATACACATGTGGGGGCACAGTGCATATGGGAAATCTCCATATCTTCCTCTGAATTTTGCTGTGAACCTAAAACTGCTCTAAAAAGTAACGTCATAAAAAAAAATCATTATTCAGATGCTCAAGAATTAAAAAGAAAAAAAGTAGGGGCCAGCCCGGCGGCATAATGGTTGGGTGTGCGTGCTCTGCTTTGGCAGCCCGGGGTTCACAGGTTCGGATCCGGGGCACAGACCTACGTACCACTTATCAAGCCATGCTGTGGCAGGCATCCCACATGTAAAGGAGAGGGGGATGGGCACGGATGTTAGCCCAGGGCCAATCTTCCTCAGCAACACCAGGAGGATTGGCAAGAGATGTTAGCTCAAGGCTAATCTTCCTCACCAAAAAAAAAAAAAAAAAGAAAAGAAAAAGAAAGAAAAAAAAAATATACACCAAAATATCAATTGTGGTTATTTTAGTTTGTAGGACTACTGGATAATCTAAAAATTTGTTTTTTCTAGTTTTGCAAATTTTCTTTAACGAATATACTACTTTTTGTAATAAGAAAACAAACATTTTTAAAAGGTTAAAAGCCTACACTCTGGAGGGAAAACCTATAGAAGAGATTCTCAGATACTTCTCAAATACTATAAACAGCTAAATTCATAGGCCTAGCCATCCCAAGTACTCGCTTTTATCACTGCAAGTTTTATATAAGAAACATTCTCTTGGTTGTTTTCTTTTCAATTTAAATACAAGAGTGATAAGCATATATTTAAAGTCATATGAAAGATGCTTTGTGGTAAATAACAGGCTTTCAATATGCACATATACGCTCTGAATAAATAAATGTGATTTTAGGGAAGGAAAAAAGGCATGTACAAAGTTGGCCACAGATAAATGTGTTAAACAGATCAAATGAGAGCTTTAGAGTTGCGGTTTTAAAATTAGATATGTACAAGCAAATAGCCTCTTTCTCCACCTATTACAAGCTGTACGCTATTCTATTAGATCATAATGTTATTTTGATATTGTAAAATGGCAGCGATAGGATTCTAGATGATTATTCCTCTGGAAGCATCTGAGTAATAAGTCATCGAAGAGGTGGGAAAAATGGACAGGGCTCTTCAGAAAGTTTTGGTCCTCACTGTTTTGCAAAAAAAGTGATAATTGGAGGGGACCCTCAGACATGAAATAAGCACTTGGTAAGCAATACAAAATATAAGGAAGAGATGAGGAATCTCGTTCTAGCTCCTTGTAAGGAGCTGATGTGATGCAGACAAGGTTCTGGGAAAAGTGACATCTATTATGAGCACATGGCCAATGAGTGTCTGAAAGCCAGATGTTAATACGTGTAGAAACTGAGCACCTTTAACAAAGAGTAGAGGTAACACGTTAACAAATGTATTTCAGGAGTTGAAAAGCAAGTCAGGATGAATGTAAGATTTCTAAGATTCCGAAGCCAGAAGCCTTCAGGAGAAAGGAAAAGGTGGCTGCTAGACAGTGTAGAGTGTATTAAAGTGAACAATGTTTAAGGGCCATATAGGAAAATAGTTTCTTCATCCTAGAAAATAAATCTCTAGGCAGAGTTTGCAGGACCCAAATAAGGTAGCTGGAGATCACAGCAAAGCCTGTGGCCAAAAGGTAGCCTTGAATATGAATAAGAAGCAGGAATTAAGAGAATGGAGACCTGGCAATGATGCCCAACCTAAATGTGACTCATGTTAGCTGTATAAGTAACTCATCCAGCATTTCTCGAGAATCTCAGCATCCAGATTTAACGTGAGAAAAAGGAATGAGGGCTACATGCCAAAGATCCTGGCTAAGATCCCACGGGGCTATACCTTTCTTAAAGAATCTGTATTCTGAATATCCATTTTTAAATGTTGTTGTATTTTTCCTCCTAAATTTCCTAGATTGAGCTCTTTTTGAAAAAATTAACTGAAGGCAACAAGGACTTTTGTATACTCAGTCATGGTTTAGAAGGGAATCCAGACAACTTCTGAGTATGGAGGGTGGATACTGACTCCCAACACTTTAGAAAAATCTGAAGAAAATGGTGGAGAGATAAGAAGTCGAGGAGAAGAATCCCACGGAGGACTTTATAAACCAATTCTTCCTTCCTGTTTGGGATTTTGTCTATAGAACATAAATGGGAGGTTGCTGGAATATAAGCCAAGGATCTTGATTAAAAATAATACTGAAAAACTATTCCTTCAGTTAGTCATTCATAAATTGAGTTGATCAACAGAACTACCAGGGGACTTAAAAAATGTAGAGTTCCAGGACTCACATTCTCTGAGATTCTTGGGGTCAGGCCCAGGAATCCACATTCTTAAAAACAGTAATGCTAAAAAAAAAAAAAAAAAAAAAATCCTCAGGTGCTACTACTGATTGGCAAAATATGTTACTAGGAACCTTCCTTTAATCAAAATCTTATTAAAGAGAGAACCCCAAAACATCCAAAGCCACAAATAAGCTGGCATCCCAATAGTTTACTGGCTTATGGTGGACTAAGACGACACACCTGAAAGAATCTAATTTCTGGGTAAACTCCAGGTATTACCACTGATCTAACTAAGCACTGCCACAACTCCAAACTACCACTCCATTTAGGACCTTGACCAAATTCTGTACCACATCTATAACGAAATTCATATTCTAGCCAAGATCAGATGTAGGAAAGTTTATGACAGAGAGTACACTGAAGAGCACATATGGCAATTATCAGCTTACTCTACAATTTACTACATTCTTCTAATTTATTTTTCACCCCTCTCTTTCCTTTTCTTTTACCTGTTATTTTCCCTCCATCAATTATAGCCATAGGCAGAGTCCTGCTGATGGCATAAAGCACTGAAGAGACTGGCTACGCTCACTCTAAACCTTTATTTGCTTTTGAAACTTTATTTCTATTTCAGGATCCATTCCTCAGTTTCATTTCAAGTTACATTTAGAACTGAGAGAGGCTTCCTTTTCTAAGAAAGAGTTCTTTTTTTTTTTTTTTTTTT